CTCCATTCTTTGGTTAGAGGTAGACATCTTGTTACCTTGTTCCCCGCTTTCACCTCCAGTTTGCTGCTACTAAAACATTCCCTTTTGCCTCCCGTTTTTCCACACAGCCAAGGCTTTGCACAGCTTTTGCTTTGCATTCACCTTTGGTTCCTTGCCTTTCTCTCCTTCGTCTCACTCATGCCTTGTTTTCACCCTTTTCTCACTGAATTTTTGTACCTTAATATAGGAATTCTCTCAATTTCTCCATTTACCAAATTATTCTTGCCTATCTTTCAGCCTCCTCTTCAAGAGACAGTGCAGTCCTTTACAGCGACTTTTCATAGCACTTGCTGCCAAAATGCACTATTCAACCGTATGCTCCTTGGGGGGACTGTATTATTGACTGTACAGTATCTACAGTATTTGCATAGCACTGTACAGACTGACTAAACGATCAGTAACAAATCAATGGCAAGGCTATAACAACAGTATTTTAACTTTCTGAAATATAATGGTTTCATTTTTTAAGTTTATTCAGTCTGAGAGATAATTCCTGTAATTAAAGTAGTGGAAACCAGAGCATCCCCCAAATCAAAAGAAGTGTTCAAATGTGACGTATCGCACTTGGAATGCCTCCCTCGCTTGCATTGCTCTCTTGGGATGGGAAATAGGAGAAGGCGGCGAAACAATAAGAGTAATGAATAATCACATATTTAGCAAAAACATTCAGTTTAGAGTTTGTAATTTGTACAAAAATCTGGATTTTGCAGCAATTTCATTTCAGAGTAAAGATATTCCCATTTAAAGGCAATTAAAATTGGAAAATATGTATTTCCAGAAAATCTGGTATCGGAAACTTAAAAAAAAAAAAAAAAAGGTAATAAGTTTAACTATTTCTATTTTTTTCTGAAACACGCAGAGGTACACCACATGACTTGACTAGGTACAACAGAGACCTGCTGGGCAAATGAAGGTCACTTGTTTTTTAAAACTTAAAACCTTGTTTTCTGCTAAATGACAGGGAAATACACCGAAACCACAATCAACTTTTCCTGGGTTTGACAATCGCAAGAGTCAAACTCCTTCTGCTCCTCACTATTGACTCACACACCACTGCATCCCAAGGGACTGTATACTCTAAAACGACGAATGAGTAATCAGGAAAAAGATGTTTCCCCTCTTCAAAGTATTCACTAAAGCATTCATCCTTTCAAAACTTCCAAACTAATATTTGTTTGGTTTGTAAATCTTACAACAACAATATCGACAGCCTTAATGTTATCTAAACACTGTACAACGTAAACGAAATTTTCTAAAATGTAGACCAGACCCCGGAGATTTCTTCCAATATGGTGCAGGGTGGGCTGTTGTAATGTAAGCTGTCTGAGAGCAGAGTCACACTGAAGCCCAGAAAGAAGAGTCTGGTTATCAGACCTGTCTTGAAAGAAAAGACGTATATTCTTCTATAGCTTGGGAAGGGACCTTTTTTTAATTCATTCAAGACACCTTTGGAAAGGGTTGCTACTATGAAGAAAGCCAAGAGTTTCAGAGGAGTATTTTGGAATGCATCTGAAAAAATGACTCACTGGATTTGACTGCCATTTTGTTTACTGCTGTGGAAAGCAGCAAAACAGGAGGTGTAATAAAGCAGACTTTGAAGAGAAACGTATTAAGATGTCTACTTATCGATGGAATATTCTGCTCAATGAGCACTCCAAAGAGCTGATTCGCTACTGTAAACAATAAAAGTCACTTTACAATAAGACAAAATAATTGATTTATCAAGAAGAAACCACGGGGTGTGATTATTAAGTCATACATTTCTTGGGAATTAAGATATTTTTGCTCAACTAATTACTAAAATTGCTAAAGGCATGGGTAGTTTACAGTATTTCTTAATCCTTTCAACATTTTACTCTTCAAATATCAAATCCCAACAATCCAAATATCACTGGCAAATTGGAAAGCAGAGAACAACCCTCCAGTTACTTCAGTTTAGATTAAAAAAGCAGTTTCATTTTACACAAGCAGAGTGGCTTGTCCTTAGGAATTCAACATTATCACACCACCCAGCAGACCACACAAACCATAAACATCTTTGAGCTCCAAACTACCATAAGATAGTTTTTATTGAACTGTAAGTCAATACTAAACTGGTTAGCTGGCAAGTTCATAATCACCAGAGGTAATATTCACAGTTCAGGAGATGGGGTCAATCAAGAGTTGGATGTGCATGTGTTATTTCTGACCTTCACGATAAAAAGTGACAATGTTCAAAATACCCAATATTGGTATTTCAAACAGGAATCCTCTCAGTCAGAAGAGTCTTCGGCTTCACCCCACTTGGACCACACCAGGAGTTTTGGTCATAAATGAAATTCCAGAAATAATTCAGTGCTCGATACCAGCAACATCTATTCACCATGCCCAGACTTACTGTATTATACTCAATAACCGGCTCCAATCTGCTGCTCAGATAATAGTCTGGGCAGCGCCAAGTCCCACATTAACATGGAGTGCAGCCTTACACAAAGGGCTGAAATCAAGGTATGAAAAATGCCAACATAATGAAGACGAGCGAAAGCCACGACCATGGCAAAGCCAGCGGCACTCAGCGCTGCTCCCAGACTCCAGGGGAACGACTACCAGAGGTCGGCTATGAGAACATGGCGTCTAAAAGCTGGTAACAACTAGAGCAGGCTGGCTACGAAGCCAAGGTGCGAAGAGCTGGTCAGAGCAAACCCTAACGGCACTGTTTTGTATCAGGAAAGGCAATACCAAGAGGACACTCAACACTTTACCTGGAGAAACCAATCCTTCACTGTGAAGCTGCAGGAACAAGACTTCACACTCAAGCGGCCTCCACAGGGCACAGCCCTTTGCTTCACACGGTGGCCACGGCGTCACGCTAAGGGCCCTTTGCCGTGCACCAGTTCTTGCCTCCTCAAGATTCCATCGCACCTGGTGGAAAGCGGGGCTTCGTCTCGCAATGAGCAAGTTCATCTTCACTCACGGCCAAGTTGGTGTGAGAAAACCTCCCCAACCTGGGAACGCCTGGGCAGGAGGTGTTCAGCTGTAATGGCGGACAAAGGCCGGCGGGAGGTCGAGATGCCGCCCGGCTTGCTTGGCGCCATCTTCACGTGGTTCCCCTCACTCAGGTAAGCTGCCATGCTGGGCCGCGAGGATGCCAGTGGCCATGGGGCGGCCTTTTTCCTCAGAGAAAAGGCCCAGGAGGCTCTAACATGGCAATGACCGACAGCTTCGTGTCACCCCACATCCCACAGCCGCCTCAAAATGCCGGCCGCCTGGTGCCTCCACGTGAAGACCAAGTGGCGGGAGGTCGGTGGCTTCCATTTCCTGGAGAGGGCTGGCTAATTTGCAAAATGGCTGCAAAGGAGCGGGAGAGGCCTCTCCTTGCCTGGCGGAGGGTGGGCGAGAGGTGGCCCCCCAAACCCGCCGCCCTCCCCGGGCTGCCTCTCCTCGGGGGGGGTCGCGGAAGGGATCCAGCCACCTCCCCTT